CTCTTACTCCAATATTAGAAAGACTAAATAATGATCTGTATATTGGTGGGCCAAAAACAACCAGTCTACCCTTTTCTTTAAGTTTATATTTGTTTGTGTTAAGAGAATAACTTGACAACCACATCCATTATATTCAGGCTGAATCATGCTGCAAAAAATATTTTCATAATAATTAACACAGAAAATAACCATGGGCTTTATGCTAATTTTGCCATACCCTAGTTCTTTGGAAATGGGCAACTGATTTGACCTCTAGGAGCTTCAGTTTCTAATGTGTAAAATGGGAATAATAATATATCCTTTGGAGGATTCGCAGTAAAGAATGGAAAGCACCTGGCACAAATGCTACATTATAATCCATAGCTAGGCAGAGGCCAGTTTTGCTCCAACTATGTTTGAATTATCATCACATGTCTAGTTCCACTTCACTCTGAATGGTCTTATTGAAGATTTCCCTAATTTTCACTTTGCATATTCAACAAGATTATCAAGAAAGTCCATGTGCTCCATCTTTGTATATGTGAGGAACTGATTTCCTTTCCTGTATATACTTTATGGCAGATATTTTCTGGAATAGTCTTTTGTTTGGCTGTGTTCCCACCTTGGAAAAAATTAGAGTTAAGTCACAGATGGGTAAGTACCTGAAAACCTGACCAGCTTTTAGACTAACAGATCCGGTCGCATATTTGGTTCACCTGAAGGAAATTGCATTATGATACTCTCCCTCTTACATCTCTCTTCTGCTGTTTTTGGGAAAAAGCAGTAGTACACATACCAGAGCAATCTGGTAAAAGTTGGCAGCTATGAGCAAGGAAAATGTAACATTTCCCATTTACTTAGATTTTTGGTTATATAGTTTCAATTACATAGGTGAGATATAGGCCCCCTACTTCCATGTGCTTTTTCTTTGAGAGAAGAAACAAAATCATGTTTTGAGATTAGGGGAGCATCAAACAAAAGGAATTAAAAAATCCTAAAACAAAGCAAACTGGAAGATTCTCAGAGTTACTCCCACTAGATTGTTAAGAAAACACCGGTAGAGCAAATATATTGCTAATCCTATTCCTGCTTTGTGCTTTGGGCTATTTAGAGGATAAAGAAGTGAATCTAATGAAGCCAAAAATCCATTTTCGGTCTTACAAGTGATGCATTTAGTTTGTCAGGATGTAAATCAGCAGGACCTCTCAGCACACTTCTGTAGTATAATCCTACCCATAAACTATTTCTCCTTGTTCTGCCAAAGAAGCGGTGGACACACCTAAGGGCCAGCACACTGACTTGGCGATGAAGGCACCTATCATACTCAAAGCTGGTAAGTCACACACCCAGACACAAACTCTAACATTCCTTGGGGAGGAAGCAGAGCTTAATTTAGATAATCTCCTCTGAAAGTGTATTAGCTGATCCAAACCAGACCTGGCTAACTAAAGACATGTTGTTCCTATATTTCAGGCACACCTCAATGTAGAAATAGCTTCTTATGCATTTGAAGCATGAAGATTCATGTAAAGAATAGGTAGAGATGATCAATAAACTATTTAAAAATGCAGATCTTCATGTCTGACTTTGAGCTTCTTTTCACAGAAACGGAAGGAACACTTTCTTTGTTGCTTTATAAAGTGTTGGCAGAACTCCTCTGATTTCACTGCACACATGAAAATAAACAACAATAATAAACGAAATGGGGAATATATGCTATGCATTATGAATAGATATCTTTGGTTTGTATAAAGAAAAACACTTTTTTTTTTCTTTGTGGTAGTGGGGATTGACCTCATGCTTTCTAGATTAGCACTCTCCAACTTGAACGACACCTTCAGTCTTTTTGCTTTTAATTTGTTTTCAGATAGGGTCTGGAGCTAATTTTGCTCAGGCTGGCCTCTAATCTTGATCCTTCTACCTCTACTCCCTGCGTACTGGGACCACAGGCATGCACTAGTGTGCCTGGGCTGACTTTGAGAGAGGGTCTTTCTAATTTGCCTGGGCTGTCCCACACAGGCCATCCATTGCACATATTAGTCTTTCCACAGAAAGACAGACAGATAATGATACGACAATGCCAGGATGTGTGACAACCGACGGAAAAACAGCCTGAGGGGCCATATGGGAGGTAATGTAACATTTGATGCAGTCAGAGTCAAAAAACATGAAGTTACCAAGTAGAACCACATGCATTTTACAGATGCATGTAAAATTTTGACAGCATGAGCACAGAAATAAATTTTAAATTAAAACCTAAATACTGGAAAGTTTTGTGAAATACTTATATTACTAGAAAATGAAATTGCTATGATCCTGAAAAAATATTAATGATAAAAGACATAATTTACATACATAAGAAAACTTGAGATTGCTGTAGAAATTAGAATTTAATTGAGGAAAAAAGTCTTCAGCAGAAGGCATGTGTGTGCTTAGAGTATGGAATCAAATTCCTTTGAGAGGTTGCTGCACAGGGAAGAAGCCCTTAAAGCTTGGCCCAGAGTGGCGCTCCTTTGAGAGCTCACTATGCCTCAGTTTGACTGATCTGAAAGAACAACTTTTCATCAGTTTTCCTTTAGAGTATAATCCTAGTCATAAAATATTCCTCCTTTTTCTGCCAAAAAGGTGATGGATGTTCCTAAGAACCAGTGGACTGATTGATGGTAAAGACTTTTATCATACTCATAGCTGGTAAGTCACACACCCAGACACAAACCCTAACATTCCTTGGGGAGGAAGCAGAGCTTAATTTAGGTAGTCATCTCCTTTTTCAGTAAGCTTATTAAAAATAATGACATATCCTAGTGAGAATTCTTTAATAGGAAATGATACCAGGTGCAATATCAAAACTTATGTTGGAAAGACCAAAAATCTAAGAATTAAGCTTGAAACAATATATATTTATATACATTTATACTTATCATTTATACATATCACATATGATATATACAGTTCTTGAAGATATATATGTATATTATAAGAAAGAAAGAAAAATAATGGATATGAAATGTAAGAAGGAAAAGAGAAAGAGACAGATACTCAGTATAATCCATACTTGATGGCATTTGTTTTTGTAACTAAGGATCAGCTCTTACAGTATTGTGGTATCCTCATAAGGTAAAGTGTAAGATATAAAGCAAGAAACAACATACACATCAGTAAGGGACACATTGAAGAGTGTAAATCCACACTGACAATTTTTTAAAAGATACATCTTAAGTGGAAACATATACCTACTGTGAGCTGGATTAAAATGACCCTAGATTACACCTATAAAATGAAATATAATGCAATTATTAAAAGTGGAATTACAGGGATATTTTTGACACTAAATTATATCTATCTCCCAGAAAGCATGCTACAAAATAGTGTGTACAGTATCATACCTTTTTGTGAAATATATTTATATATAATACTCAGCAAAATGTGTAGCTGTTTCTGTACAATGGCACTATGTTTTTTAATTGTCCCATGTGTACTTTCTCTTTTTTCTACAAAAATGTGTGTTATTTATACTAATGACTCAGAAAAACAAGGAAAAATTGTTATTGTTCTACTTATTCAAAATTCCTGAACAACGTTTGCACAATAATTCTTGAAATATATGACTATAAATTTGTTCTTTTGAGCAATAGAATTGAAGCATAGGGATAGTGACCCCAAATTGAGGGATGATTGATGTAAAGTATACCTGTTACATACATGCATATGTCTAATTATCATGAAACTACAGTACGGTGTTTTTCAACAGGATTTTCAATTCCAGAACATTTCCTCATGCAGCCAGCTCAGGGTCAAGTCCTGCCAAGTTTATTTACAGTTATACAATTTACCTCATGATACTGTACAAAGAAAAATAAATGTAAAACTTAGAAATACAAGTCATGCCGATGAGTGACCCCTTTCGCATTCTAAACTAACAGCCAAGTTTATTTTCTTCATGCAGAAGTTTAATTGTAATTATTGGCATTGAAGTCTACTTTTAGCATTAAGTTGGGGAATTCTTTCAAGTTGTAGATAATCTGAAGAGTAAGAAAGGAAAGATGAAAATGAGCAGCAAAAAAACCTGCATTATCTCCCCAGTTCTGCCACAAGCCAGCCCTGTAAACTTGAACAGGTCACTCACTTCCTGAGTCCTTGTCACACCTTCTGTAAAGTACCTCCTAGATGTCCCCCTGGTTTGGAATATGAGAGAGGCTGTAGTTCCACCAACAAAATGGCATTTAACTTCTGTCTGTCTTTAAGTGGTCTTGAACTCAATATAATGCAAAAAAACCTGAATCTCCTTCAAAGCATCCAAATACTCAGGATAAAATGTGACTAAATACAAGACACTTGGCCTACAGAAGCCAGTACCTTGATCAAATTGTCCATCACCAATGTTAATGCTTTCAGAATAAGACAGAATTATGCTGTCCCAGGCCTCAAGAGCCTTATTTCATTTCTCTGAAATGACTCATAGTTGAAAAACACAATGACGTGATGGCATTTATAAATTTAACCAGAGCAAATGGCTTTAAATGAAACAAACAAAAAAACCCTTCCTGATTAGTTGTATAGGCAAATCATTTTCTGGAAAAAAAATACATAAATTTTGCTTCTCTCCAGTGTGAGACCTCTGAATTCAATCATCCTGCTTTAAACAAAAAGCCTGAGTGGATTGAGTGGTGATTCAATGGGCTCTATTTTTTTTTCTAAAGCTAAAATTTTTGATTTTGCTGAAAAATGTCAATATTTTGTGTCACTGAATTTAGTCATAGAATTAAATAATATTTGTAGGTATGGAAGATTTGAACAAGTGCACATTAGAGAAGTTAATGAAAAGGTTATGAAAAGCACTTATCTCAAAAAGGTAAACAATGGTATTGATCAGTTGACAAACTTACCACGTCTCAAGTCTTCCTTTTCATATTAAAGATTAATTTTGCTCTATATGTCAACTTTAATTTTTCAGAGTTTCTAGAGGCAAAGGATATAAATAGGTGCATACATATATATTTTGGGGCTAGACTGGTGCTCACCTGTTTTTTTCATGAATCTTTAGAATTTCATTTGTCTGTTGAAGAAGTTGCTTCTCTAGTTTGTATGTTGATAATGAATTTCCAGCAGTTGTATTTCAAGTCGAGAAGTTTGATTTAGTACCTTAAGATAAAAGATATAAGCACTTCAAACTTCAACCACAAATCAAAGAGGAGAAAATAATAGAGATTTTAAAAAAGTTTGTTCTTAAATGATATACTTTCAGGAATAATTATTGTATAGTGTGTATTCTACCAACTACTGGTGTTCATGTTTCTCAAACATTCTATTCATTTGAGACTGAAGTTGCAGGAGATTGTTAAATCCATTTTTACATTTCAATTTTCATGCCCTGAAACACTGGGATAGTCTACTATCACCAACATTTGTAAATGCAAAGTGATGATTAGTACAAGTCTCTAGATATTGTGATAATTTATAATAACTATTAGACATATAAAAGACTCTTCCCTAGATCTATCACCTTATAAAAAGCAATTTAAATACAAACAACTCTTGACACAGTTTGGAAAAATTTGTGACTAAATATTTATTAAATAACTGTCATGTTAGGCCATGCCAGCTATTCCAAGATGTCACATCACCGAAAAGACACAGCCACTGTTGAAGGAAGAATTATCAAATTTACAAATGAGGAAAATGGGATTCAGAGAAAGCCCAATGTTCACACAGGAACCCAGGTAGTTTAACTTTATTGTAGTGCTCTACACAGAAAATGCAGAAGAGGAGTCACACCTTGGAGGCCTGAAGTGATCAGGAACTCAGAGTGCACTAGGGACCAGTATTAATTATCCTTTCCACTCCACTGCACCGGATCCATCAAAAACTACAGATGCTCAGTTCCTTTGGAATCCCAAAGGCCCATGTGGCTAGTTATGTGTTAATAGGATGAGTCTGTGAGCCTGTGAACCATGCAACAAACCTATCATTCTTCAAGCAACGTTCACATATGGAAGTCCTAGAGGATGTCTTCAAACTGTGTCAATGTCCTATGTCTGTCTCTGTTTTGACCCTCTCCTTCTTTTCCTCCTTAAGAGATGTATAGTGGGCAATGAGGAGAGTAAATTGTTTTAAAAGCTCCCTATATTGTTTGAAAACTTTTATAAGCATCACACTTTACTTAAATTTACTTATTAAAAGGGACTTAAGAAACATTTAAAAGAGCAGCATCACTATAAAAGGTCCTCCTCTAAAACTGACACACTTAGAGCTTTTTCTAAATCTGGGACTGATCATATACACACAGAAAACCTTTTCAACTATTCTGATATGCTTGGGGATGTGCTTGAGCTTCAGGAGATTGCAAGGATGAGGGTATATTTTGCAGGTGATAGAGCAGGAAGTAGGCTGAAGGGAGAGAGGAAACTGCTTCAGTTGCAAAATTTAAAAACTGCCCCCCACCAAACCAGGAAATCTTAGTAAGTAATATGTCACTGATATGGATCTGAAAGCCTCTCTAAAAGTTACTACTAATAATCATATTTTATGTTTATAGAGTGTTTTAGAATTTAAAAAAATCCTGATCTATATCATTTTATTTTTAAAAAAAGACAGAATTTGAAGACAGAGTTAGGAGCAGCTCAGAAGAAAATATTGTAAGAGAATGTTACAGTTGAGGCTACACAGGATCTAACTTTCTACTACTGAACATATTTTTACATAGGCAAACTTCTTGCTTCTTTGCTTATTGAATGACAATTTATAAATTGTTCAGTTACAAATGACATTAGAAATTCATAAGTTATGGAATGAGGAGTGCAATGCATGTATCTTTTGGTGACACTTTGAAAAATGCTTGACGCAGAGAAGACACTAAATGCTTGCTCTTGAATGAAGGATGTACCATCTCCCTGACTCAAGAACATCCTATGGAATCAAATAATGTCTATTTTCTCCTTTATTCACTGCAAACCACACTTCCTGGCATTCTCAAACATCAAAATTTTTATTTTACAAGTAACCGTAAGTATTCTTCTCCTTATTCACTGAGAGCAGAACAGAACCATCTGGAATTGATAATGCAGAGACCTATATCTAACTCTGGAGAATGTAACTCCCAACGTATCTTCCTGATTCTTCTTTTCCTATCTTTAGTCCATTTGCCACTGAGAAACCAGAGTGATCTTTTTAAAAATAAGTCCAATCAAGTCATTTCCTATGTTAAATATACTAATTACTTCACTTTGCAATTAGTTTAAATTTAATGTTACCTACAAGGCCCTATCTGATCAGGACCCTGTTTACCTATTGGATCTCACTTCTGGACATTCTCCTAATGTATTATGCCACATCTCCATAACCTTTTTTCTGCCACCTCAACATGCCAAATTCATTTCCATCTTTGGGCCTTTGCACTTGCAGTCTCCTGTGCCTGGAATGTCCATCCCTTCCCAGATAACAGTCTCATCATTGATTAAGTCTTGATCAAGGGTGGGGGATTCCTGGCTCTGCGAAGTATCACCCTATTTTATTTTCCTTATGGAGTTAGCACTATTGAAGGTAATTCACGCATACGCTATCATCTTTCCACGCCACTATAATGTCAGTTCACAGAGGCAGGACTGCTCTGTCTGGAGCCCTCTGGATCTCTAGACCCCTGCACAAAGTCCAGGTGTACTATGATTCTCAACCATGTGATGGATGACATGGACAGTGGGTTGTTTTCTCAAGGTAGGAAATAATCACAAAGTCTACCAAGCTAGACTTTAATATAACAGTTCAAATCTAAAGCAGTATCTGAAGGTAGAAGAAGGAGGATAACCAATCTCTTCAGTCCAGCCAGACAAAATGCTACTCACTCCAGGCCAGTTTTGAGCATGAATGTCACTTTCCTCTTTGCACAGCAACTTGACCCCATTGCTGCTTTATTTCAACTTTCCTCACTGATGGATTCAAATAGCCCTGAAGTTCAAAAAAGTGGCCAATTCAGAGAACTGTATAGCAAACTATGATAAATTCTCCACTTCCTTGCCATGTGTCTGTGAACTTGCTGCCTAGCAATAACCATAGTGTTCCATTAAAATGACAAAAGACATTTCCTTCTTAGCCTAAACACATCCCAAAAGCACATCTCTGGGAAAAATATTAAAAAGGAAAGAAAAAAAATGAAGAAAGAAAAGGGTGAAGAATATATGGATCAGCCCCCAAGAATGGTGTCAAAGCTTAAACTTTCCAGAGTATGCCACAGAGTAAGGAAGACATAAGACCTGAAACAGGATTTATGGACTTTAAAATCTTAGGTGATTGTTTAAAAAACAAAAAACAAAATAAAAAAAATTTAGTTTCTCAGAGAAAGCAAGCTAGAAAACTTCAGACAGTCTCTTTTTAATCCTTTTAAGAGCATTGTGGTCTTTAAATTAATAGTCACATTAAAAATAGGTAGAGATTTAGGGAGAACACAAGAACCACAAAAGAAAATCTCTTTGAACAGCAAATTAACTATAAATCAGTCTTGCTTGTAGGTTTGAGTTTGCTTTTTCTCTAATTAGTCTTTCCAAACAAAGCAAAAAAATCAAAACAAAATATGATGCTTTGGCAATTTGTCTTTTACAGAAGTATGAAGGCAGATAAATGTAGAAAGAATGAGAGAGCTATAAAACCACTATTTTGCAAACTCGGTGAAGTAATTTTTTGATCAATGATTGACATTGTGATGAAGATTGACACTTCAGTTTATTTGTTAATTTCCAAGGGAAAAGTGAGCCATTGGGATGGAGTGACATGGACACTACTAACCCTAACCATATTCACAAACTTCTTTATCACTGAGGGGGTGGCAATCTGGCATTTCTGCCTCCTGATAAGATGTAAGATGAAGTGACTGGTAATTCTATACAGTACCCCTAGGCTAATGCTCACCTTGGCCTGACCAAACCTTTGGATGTAGTAACTTGCAGTTTAAAGAAACTACAGTAGATGGAAAAATAAATGAAAGGATATGATAAATAAATACTTAGAAAAATTCAGTATATGAAACAAATTACCAAATGATTGCCCTGGTTTCTTAAAAGGAAAAATTAAAAGAGCCCATTAAATCTTGAAAAACAAAACATGAAATATTTGGTAGAATCATTAAAAAAATGAATGTGGAAATTAGAGAATTTTAGAGAATTATTGTTAATCTTAGTTAAGATACAAAATATAATTAATACTCTATAATTATACATAACTTCATAATTATAGCATGTGTAACAATATCAACTCTAGGTTATAATGTAATAATCTCATTTGGTTATAGAGTTTGATGAGATAATGCTTATACTACAGTGCAGAAATTGTGTGTTTAAAGTAACTGGCTCAATACAGCTAGCACATAGGAGAGTCAGAATAGAAACCAGGTAGTCTGTTTCCAGAATCTGATTTCTATCCCACAGGTTCATGTATCTATGAACAAGCAACTTCCCTCTGGCTAAGAAAGGTGCCTCCCTTAGTTAATAATATCTGCTACCAAAATGGTTTCTTTCAAATCATCACAAGGTCTTCTCTTTGTTATAGTTGATGGTATCTGATTTCTCCACCAAAACACAAATTAAATTAGTACTTTCAGGTAGGAAGGATTCCAAAATTTCCATGTTACTCAGAGAATATATATTCAGAAAAAATAAATTCATACTATCTTTTTTGTTAGAATGTTTTATTTCCAAGTCCTATTGAGTCCCATCACCTGTTTGTGGATATATTTTGCCATCAACCCTTAGGATATTGCCTTAGGCCTGGGATCATTGGGTTAAAATCCTGAGATACTAAGGGATTAAGATTAGTTAATTTAATTACTTAACAAGTATTTATTGAGATCCTACCATGTATCTTGTCCTGTTCTAAATCCTAATGATAGAGCGGTGGACAAGAACAAGCCAGACAGAATCCCTGCTTTCTAGCAGAGGTTGGCCAAATTTTTCTGCAAAGGACCAGATAGTAAATATCTTAGGCTTGATGGGCCATATGTTTTCTGGTAGAACTATTCAACTCTGTTGTACAGAGACAGCAGTAATGGGCAACATATAAATTGATGAATTTGGTTGTGTTCAATAAAATTGTATTTACCAAAAGAAATGACCGGTAGAATTTGACCAGTGAGCCATGGTTTGCTGAGCCTTCTCCTAGTGACTTATCCAACACTTTTTTCCAGATTTCGTAAAAAAATTAATTACCAAGGTATTTTCTTTGGATAGTACCTTCGCTAACTTACTTCATTACCAATTCAGTTAGGCCAAGGTTAAATGTTTATTCGACTATTCCCTCACCAAGTTAAAAACACAGTGGCTCAACTCTGAGAGCTGCCATTTGAGAACAGATATGAGAAGAAGCCTGTTTCTGCCTCGAGTTTCATGTTCATTGAACAAACTGTTTATGAACTGCCTTAAATTTCTAATTGTGCTGTTGGGATCCAAACAATAGATGTGATAATTTGTGACTTCTGAAAAAACAGGGGATAAAATGTGATTGGACACGAAGGAAATGTATTAGGAGAAATGCCTGTAAGGGAAAATTGGGAAGAAGTGAGAGGAGGTGGGGAGGTGGAGGTCTAGCTATGTGAAGAAGAGAGGGGAGGAAGGAGTGTTGGGTAGACGGTCTCAGGGCAGCTGTGGGGAAGCTTGGCATGGGCAGTGGGGAACCCTTAGCCAAAGTCATACCTCAGCGCAGTGCTGTCACTCCACGGAGCAGAACTACGCATCCTGCCACAGCCTGTGACTCATTGCCTAAAAGTGGCTGCTGGGAATCTTTGTCTCTACGCCAAATCTGATGGATTTCAGAGCGCTGCAGCTGGGGCCACTGGTCAATTACACTCCCACAGGAGGGGATCGAAAAGGTACACTTTTATGGTTGTGAGGAAAGGCTCCATAGCTAATTAATTTGACAGAAAGTAAAAAAGAGAAATGATTTAGAGATTCTGTGCCACATTAACTCGAACTCACGGAATTTAAAGGCTGCTTTGTGATTGGATTCTATGTATAGTACCTATTAAAACATCTTGCGTCATGGAAATACACAAAATATGTTTTTAAAATTTGATTAAATTCTATTTCATTAGAAATTATTGGAGATTGGAGGAAACAGGCTCTATGTCTACGGATTTCTCCTATAATTTGACACAGCTGGTGAACGGCAAAGACAGCACTGGATCCCAGGATTACATGGGATGATATCACTGGCACTTGGCAGAATAGTGGGAGTAGGATGAACCATTGTCATCAGCAAGGCAGCAGCTGCATCTTCGTCTGTGGCAAGTGTTTGAGGGTGTTATTAGGTTCACATTACTATTTGCTCTGATTTTCATCTTACTCTCTACTTAGACACACTTACTATAACCTTAGAGAAAGAAGGGATCCACAGGACAGACTCATCATTCATAGAGAGCTGGTAAAGCATGTGGACTTGGTGCCAGATTGATTTTAAATCCTCACTCTAACATTCATTAATTCGTTCATCTGAGGCAAGTTGCTTTACCTCTCTGTGTTTTGGTTTCATCATCTTTAAATAAGGAATGGTAACATTGTTTACTCCATGTGGTTTATCATCATTGTTATTATTACTGAAGAGCTAATATGCATAAAATTGATTGAAACAGAGCCAAGCACAGATTATCAAAGGTGAATTTTTAATGTAATTTGTTTGTCTGATAGTTCCAAATTTGCCTGAGAAAGAAGAAAGAAACAGAATTACATAACACAAAGGGACATAAATCATTGTGAAACTAACTCCTTTATATTGCACACTTGGAAAGAGGAACATAAGAAAAGGGAAGAGATATTGATACGAGCTGATAACAGAGTGAGAATAGCACTAAGTGAACTAAGGAGGAAGGAAGGGACTTGGTGTTGGTTTCCAACACTCACCACCATAGTGGGCATGGTTATTTCCAAGTGTTCATTATCAGTCTCTTTTCTGATCATGATACTTATCAAGCAAAGCCATAGCTTTGTCACCTTTTGTTAAAGTGCAATTCTAGAAGGTCAGAAGAGGACTGAAAAGCAATAAGTTACTTATCTTTATAACATCATCATGTGAGAGCTAGGGCACATGGATGTTTTGCAGAACCATTGTTATGAGTTCTTGAAATAACTGAGTGCCTGAAGTCCAATGTGAAATTAAAGTAAGTGAACAGAGGATCTCGTGATTTCTCTCAAAATCATAAGAGAATGCCTAGGCAACACAGAAGAATCTGTTGGTTTATAAATGCTTATCATAAATGAATACAGTGTATCGAAGCTAAGGAATAATTCAGGATTCATTTTGTAAACTTGGGCCTGCATCAGGACTTGAGAGCACTTGACTGGTTATATTGAAGAAGAACACACCCAGTTGCAATAATTTAACTATGAACCACATGAGTGTGCACATATATGACAAAGGTTTGGAGCATTAAAGCTGCATATAGCATAAACAATTGGGATATCAAAATGAAAATGGAAGGATCAAATAGACTTCATCTCTTTTTTTTTTTTTGACATTAATGGGGTTTTTAACTCAGGACTTCAAGCTTGCTAAGCAGGTGTTCTATCACTGGAGCCACAGCCACAGCCCTTTTTTGCTTTAGTTATTTTTCAGGTAGGGTCTTACATTTTTACCCTAGGCAGCCTAAGACCTATTCTTTCACCTCCCCCCTTCCCACTGTAGCTAGGATCACAGGTATGCACACAATGCCTGTTGTTTTGATTGAAATGGGATCTTGTTAACTTTTTGCTCAGACTGGCCTGGAACCTGATTCTCCTGATCTCTACCTTCCTAGAAGCTGAGCCACCATGCCTGGCCTAGGCTTCACTTCTTAAGGTAAGATAGAGTTCAATCCATTGTCTTCCTTCTCTGCTTACTTCTTATTGCTAGTTCTGATGGATTTATGATTTTTGAGTTTTCTAGGTTGAGCTATCTTAAAATTGTTCTTGCTATATCTAATAAACTTTCATTAGCATTTAATTAAGAATTTTAGCTGTTCCATGTAGGAGTGTTATTTTATTTTCTTTGAATTTTCTGTACTGTTTTCCAAAAAATACCTATCTCCTAGCCACAGGAATGCAGAACAAGTTATTACCACTAAAAACTTTTATAGCGTGCAACTTTACAATTTGGATATTAAAAATGCTAACAATGGGATTTCTGCCCCCTAAGAATTCTAATTCCTAAATAAGAAGAGAATTAAAAACAACTGAAGATAAGTTTTGGATGGGAATGGACAAATAAACAAAACCCTGTCATAGATTTCATAAATGTATAAAAATAGAAATATGCAATCAAGTAGGATAAATTGTGTATTATTTCAGTTTTTGAACATGTGAGAATGTACTGCAGTAAATGGTGAGCATCTGTTCTAATAAAAATAAGAGGAATGTACAGTTACATTTTTTATATCACAAGAAGCCAGTGGTGCATAGATCACTATACTTGCTTAGTGTGATGACAAATGATTAAAGAAATCTTGTATTTTTCAGTTGTAATATGTAGTCTCCTCCTCCTCTTCCCTGGTTTGCCTGATAAAAATGTACAGAAGAAAGTGTTTTTGAAAGCCTATGTGATTTGTTTCTACAATGTAATCAACACCTAAGTTCTTAATTATTTAATTATTAATCAGGAGAATGGAATAGAGAGGAGGACACCAGTCTGACTCCTGAGTTCTATTCATTTGTTATATCGGCCAGAATTCACTCAAACCTTTTAACTTACCTGATTTCAATGCTTTTCATAAATATTCATTATGAATGGGAATGGTCTCTGTCATATAAAATACTCTATCCATATAAATCATTATTGTTACTTCTCTTTATAAATCAACATATGATCTCTAATGCCACTCACACTGATTGAATAAAATAGAAATAAGTTTTCACCTATTTTACATTTATATATTTTAGCTTTGATAGAAATCACCTACATTGATAGAATCATCCTTCTAGATTCAGAATCGTAATTATGATAACCATTTCCATGGCTAAAAGAGCACCAAGAGATCACTTCTAATATCAAAAGTGATATGTGCTATTTGCTATAAACTGTACGGGTGCATTCATGACAGTGATAATTAAAGAACATCCTTAGTTTTTATTGATTTACATTCAAATTCATATGTGATATCTAGGTGCATGCTTATTCCTGATGAGTTCACATGAGTCTTTCCTTTCAATGCAATGAAGGAAGAAACCACTGTAAGTGCCATTTTGGCTAGAGCATTACCACAGGTAAAACAGCACAGGTCAAAAATGTGTATCTGAAGCACCAAATTTGACCCAAATAACTATTTTGTTTGACATTCATCATATCACAGTTGGTAGCTGTAGTGTTTATGTGAACCAAAAAGCTGATTAGGTCCTTTACCAGCCCTGTTTTTTCAAATACATGCAAAGTTAAATATAACAACCCTCATTAAGTCAAACGAAACATGCATCCCATGTCAGGCAGTCATTGTTAGTTTTACCAATAAACAAAAATGTATATGTTTTCTCAATCCCCGTGGTGACACGTGCTCTGTGTTTATGGAAGAAGCCAAAGGATTAGAAGAAAAGAAATCTTCTGGTTGTGTGTGTAGACTCTGCCCCAGGAGCATACCTGGGTCTCAACATCTGTCAGTTTTCTGGTCTGCTCTGCGGTCTGTGATAGTAGGCTGGTTCCTATCTCAAGCATGGTGGCCGTGTGGTTCTGAACTGCGTTCTGCTGTATCTGGGCCATCTCCGACTTCATATTTTCCACAATGTAATTCTCAAGCTGCAAGAGATAAAGGACAAAGCATGCTGCATTATAAGCAAAGCCTCCCAGTTGGGGCATGTAATATTTACAATGACAAAACAAGACACAGCTGGCAAACTGGCCATCTGGTAAGAATCTGCTACATCTCTGGGAGTTAGGGCAGCGGGAGCAGAGTGCACTGGAATCCTGCTGCTAACAAACTCCTAATATATAGAGTCACAACCATAATGAAACCTTGCACTTGTTCCAGCTTTGTTCTTGTCAACACTATCTAATTTAACTCTCACAGGAAGATGTGATTTAGGAACAACCAGCCTCACTGTCCTTTTTCATTTACAGCGAGGAAACAGAATCAGAGAGGGCTAGTGATGAAATCAAGATCACCCAGCAAGGATGCAACAGAGTTAGCAAATGATTTCAATCTAAATCTTAGTGCTCTGGTCTTTTCATTATAACATGCTGACCACTCATCTCAGGAAAATTCAGCCTCCTGCCTTCATTTTTGTTATGTTAAATGAAAGATTATGCTGCAATGGAGGAATGGGACAGGAATGGAAGAAACAAAATGCCCTCCCAAAGTCTTTAAGAAATATTAGACATAATCAGTTGTGTATGAAATGAGCTGCAGAGCCTGAGAGCTAACCATTCTTCACGTTCCTTTGTAAGTTCAAAAATGAGCACTCAAAATACAGCCCATAAGGCAGTGTTGGCCTTTCTTGCTTTGGGTAAAATTTATTTCTTTATGATGCCATCTTAGAGAACACTATGGTTGTAAAATAAATGGTACCACAGGGGCCAAGAAGAATTATTAAGTGACTTACTATGGGGGAGCTTGTTAGGCACCTGGGAGAATAAAGCTGAGCCATATGCATTGCTTGAAAAATGCAGAAGCAGCTGGCACCTCCCTGTCAGTGCACTTACTTCTCCCCCAACCACTGAGTGGTGACTACATTTTATTACTCAATTACACATATGGGGAAATTGCATCCCAGAGAATTCAGGTCCAAGGCCACACACCACAAAAACAGCCAGACTTGGACTTAACTGCTGAAGTCCTTAACTCTCATACTAACACTTTTAACCACTTGATAGCTCTGCCAAGTCGTGCTTAGCAAGCCGGGTTCCAAATCATTAACAGCTACGTGATTTTTACTGATTTAGTGAACCATAATACATCCACTCTTTTGTAATCCACAGTATCATTATTATCATGTAATAAATAGAGTCTAAGTGTATATTCCCTTTTGTGAAACTTTGGCAGCTCAATTTCTAACATCATCCCTTGCTCATTTCTAGTTATCAAACATAAATCTGCCCCAAACTAACAAAAGTGAAAGCTTACAATCAAACTCATATTGTTGTGCACAAATTCTGAATTTGTTCTTGCTTAATACAAGGCAAATCCCCTTCATATTCTACTAAATGAGGAGAGTGCAGTGAGAGAGGAATTCAACCTATAAAAGTATATTTTAAAACAAATACAAAATATAGATGAAGAAATATCTGAAAATTAACTTTCCAAAATATAAGGTCTCTAGGCCAAATCTTGGTTTTTATTACAATTCGCCTAACATATTTAAACAACACCGGAAGGGTAGAGGCCAAGAGGCTAGTCAAAGTAGTATACAACTATTATTTGGACTCCACTTCAGATGTTCTCTTTATCCTAATGACACCCCTTAACTTTCTTTTGGGAAATTATTTTTTCTCCTTTGAAAATAAATGTTTTGAGTAGAGTTGACCCATGCTAGCTTTATGAGTGGGTACACGTTTGAGCCTGGAAAGCAGAATCTTTTGCTCTTACTTAGCAATGTGAGTTGTTTAAGAAAATGGAAAGATACTGTAGGAAGGCCATTAAGCCTCAATTCTGGAATTTTGTCAGACTAGTTTGCACAGGAACTTCATTTCCTTCTATAGTTAATAAGCAGGTAATATAGACACCCAATGCTATGGATGCCCATCTTTTCCAACACAAAACTAGAGGCAGCACAAGAATAAAACCAATCCAGAAAAAAAATGACAGGCAGGTAGATGACAGAGAGAGAGAGAGAGAGAGAGAGAGGAAAGAGAGAGGGAGAGGGAGGAAGAGAGAGAGATGATAGAAGAAACCAGGTGGTATGGATAGAATTTTATGTTTCAGGGATGTTTGTAGATCTACCCTTGGAAAATCATCTGTAAGTCATAGGATATAATAATCTCCCCTGAGCAGCCAAGAGTTTTTTCCCCCTTCAATTGCATTGCTTTATGTTTTTAACTCTTACTATCAAAAGGATTCTGATTATTACATCTGATAGATATTTAGCAAAACAAGCCTCAGTCAAACATTAGCAGTGTGTTCCTTGCTTGCCCAGGGAATTTGATGCTATTTATTAACACATATATCCTAAAAAATGGCAAGTGAGCTTCTATTGTGGATGACACCTGACATTTATCAAATACCTTTTACCTAGTAGGCATTGAGCTAAGCGCTTTCCTGTTATATGGGAAAAAAAAACTTACAACCACTTTACATGTCAAAGATGTTTTGTAGATGAGAATATGGAGCAGAGGCTTAGAAACCCCCACAGAAATTTCTGAAGAACAAGCAAGAATTCAACCCCCAACTTCAAGACCCATATCCTTAACCAATTACCTGTGAAGGCTAGCACTACTTATTATTCTATGCATTTTATTATGTAAATCCTAAACCTTGAGTGTTCATCAAACTACATGGACAGAATTTAAAAATCCAGATGGAGGTGCAACAGTCTAGAAATTGTCAAAGGGTTATGTTAAGAAGCAATGTATTTTAAAAAAGCTTCCCAATATAATTCTGAATCAGGCAATAAAACAGTGCTTCTCAAAGTGTGGGCCATAAAACAGTCTGTATGAGAACTGTTTGTGAACAGTTAACCATGAAATGAGAAACTTGTGCCAGAATGTAAATGACCTGTGTCACCAAGCACATTGACTAGTTATATAGTTTTATATATATATACATACATAATCATATATGTACATATATATCAAGATTTTCTCAATAAAGAAAGCAATGTTCTAATTTACATTCTAGTGTAACCTCCTTACATGTTCACAAAAATAACAAAAATTTTCTTGGCACTGATTTAAACCATCAAATTTACACTTATATGTCAGATTCCCTGAGTAACAAGAATTTGCATATAATAATTTGACTTCCTATGCAGATTTCCCTTCTGAAAGAGAATTCACTAATCAGGGAGCCCTAACACATGATCCACTTGATCAATACCATCACTGACTTATTCAGTTGGCTAATTTGGGTACATTAATGGACCTTGACTTGCTTTTGGCAAACAAATGATGTAACCCAGGGTTCACAGAGGAAGATATCCAGTAAGGTTCATCTCCTTTGTGATCCTATTATAATGCATGTAAGATGTGACCATTCTATATTATTGTGCTTTTCTTTTTAACTATAGAAGCTAGCCCAGGAAAGCAAAATGCCTGTTTCATGTCAACATTCATCACAACCATTCATCAGAAGAGTCTTCTGCTGACCTGTTGTAGACTTAAAGTAGGTCTCCAACTTGTACTAAATTTCTCATTTAAGCTGCCATGATGACTAGCATGACTATAACTCTAGTTAATTATTTTTTAATCAAATGGGGTTGCTTTGTCTAGTAGTAACTGCTTCTTAATGCAAAAGGTAATGGCACACTTAAGTAGCAGGAACCAGATGTAGTTGATTTAAAAGCTGAGGGGGGAGGCAGAAGTCAAATACACAATGTGTGATTAATATGAAGGGCTGCTTTCATCTTATCTCTAAACATTCCTCTGTAGATGTATAACTGTGAAATCAATCTTGACGCACCCTATCAACCAGGTCTAGGAAAGGTTTGTAACAAATATGATTGACTTCATGTATTCCTTACTGGTTTTTAAAAAACAAATGTTACAGAAAATGATGGCTACTTTAACGCTTAATATTTTCTATGTATTGGATAGGTGAATTTTTAAGCTAAGAAGTTGTTGACCAGAGAACTAATGGGTTATAAAGTTGTAGACTTCAAACCTGAATAATAAAGTTATTTAACTGTACTTTCAATGTCTGACTCCATAGTTTTATAAAGTCCTGGCCAAAAGACTAAGAAGGGGATGTAGGATGGATTTGAAATAAGATGAGGAGTAATAAATGGTGATTTTTGGGGCTAAGTATGTAGCTCAGTAGTAGAGTGCTTGCCTAGCATGCACCAGGCCCTAAGTTTGATTGCCAGTACCACAAAAACAAAACAAACAAACCAACAAAAAATGACTCAATAAATGATGACTTTTAAGCAAGGAAATAGTATTAGTTTTGTAAAGTGATTTAGTATGTGCAAAGAGCTTTTCATATACATTTTCTGCCTTGATCCTTATGTCAACCCCATAAAGGAAGCATTGATTTCATTTTATTGTTTAAGAAACTGAGGCCTCAACTGGGTGCCAGTGGCTCACGTCTGCAATCCTAGCTATGCAGGAGGAAGAGATCAGGAGGGTCGTGGTTCAAAGCCTGCCTGAGCAAATAGTTCCTCAAGACCCTATCTCAAAAAAGTCCATCACAAAATAGGGCTGGTGAGTGGCTCAAGGTGTAGCCCTGAGTTCAAGGCCCAGTACCACACACACACAAAAAAGAAACTGAGTCCTTAAGTGACTTGATAGAAATCAAAGAAAGAACTCAATTCTATCTTCTGGTGGTTCACTGGCCTCAGAGTTTTGTTATTACTCTGCTATGAATTATTTGGCTGGTTGCCTGAAAAATTGATTAATTTTATTTGTAGTCAGTCATGAGTATTCATTTCCTTATTCTTTTGAGAAAAACACGTACCATCTGAGAGTTATTTCTTTCACTCAGTTTCACAATATTGGAGACCAAGTTACTTTGGAGTGAGATGAGAGGCTCTAGGACCAGATATCTGGAGAGTTTACTTTGCCAACCATCTTAATACTATCTTAGTAGCATAAGTTTGGTTTATTCTACCCATTCTATTTTTTACAGACCATTGTAAAATATAACAAATGGAATAGCAATCACACAGTAAACCGCCACTAAGACTAGGTACATGCCAGGTTATATAAATATATAGTTCATTGAACTTTTACAA